TCATGATCATCATCATCGCAAGCACAAAATCATCATTCATGACGTTTTGGCAGTCAACATGTGAGTGCAAGATTCAAAGTCAGAGTGCATCATTCACAGTGACGCCTCTTGAAGGCCAAGTTCACAAGAAAGAACCTCGGCGGCGGTCGGGCAACGCCGAAATTTTTTTGGTAGACCATTTCTGACTGCAATGTAAATGGAATGTTATCCTTTGATGCAATCAATTTTCATTGTGAACATTGGTGGTCACCAGCAATTGGATTCTTCGGGTGTCACTTGTAGTAAGCTTAGACAGCACAAAATGAAGAATGCGCTGCTAACAATTTGGCGCACGACTTTTTCCCATTTGTCGTTTCTTTTGACAGCGGTCCTCGCTTTTGATTTATGTCTGAGCTATGCTCTGACGTTTTCCGTGGCGGTGTGTGAGCTATGCTCTGACGTTTTCCGTGGAGGTATTGGGTCCAAAAACTTTGCATGTCACGGAGGTTGGAGGAATGATACCAGATCCATGCTTCGGAGGGAACACTGCGGATCTGTCTCTGCCGAAGCTCTCTCCTCCAGCAAACGCCAATTCTCCGGATGCTTCCGCATCCAAGTGGTGCGTTTCCATGACTTGCAAATGTTAGGTGTCTTGATCATGTTCGCACGGCCTCTGAGCAAGCAAAACATCCTGACACCATCCCTCTGATCAAGCAAAGGGTCTGTAATCCAGAAAGTTCTGGCACGGGGTCCGTCCCGGGAGCACAGCTTGATCACTGCACTCAAAGTTTCTTTGTCCAGTAAGTCTGGCCTGGCAGTCGTGCCATGGAACGGCACTCCCTGCGCCAAATCATCTCGAAGCAAAGCGTCGAGCTCCACGTGGTCTGCTGGCTGTCCGCGTTGATGACGATGAAGTGGAGGCGATAGCAAAGTTACTTTCGAGCTTGAAGATTTGTTTGCGCCGGTGCCTGGACTCTCTGCCCTTGGGGGAGGTCGCACTGGAGGTGCCTTCACGGGCGGCCAGGTGTTTCTGACAGCTGTCCTCACAGGGCTGCTTGTATCTCGTTTCCTTGAGAAAGATTCAGATCTGGAGCTGCGGCGTCGTCGCCGTGGAGGCGGTGGCAAATTCCGTGGGCGACGGGGCAAAGGACTGCGGGAGCGTCTTGTTGATTTCGAGCTAGAACGTCTCCTCGACTTAGATCTCTCTATATACGGTGTCTGAGCTATGCTCTGCACACCGTGGGTCTGAGCTATGCTCTGACCTTGCGGCAAAATGCTTCCGATTTCTTGCAAACATTTGTCATAGTTGCGGCAAGCGCTGCATGTTGCTCCGCATTTCATGCGAGCCCACTCGGGAGATTGGTAGTGGATCAACAGAGCTGAATGCCCATATCGAAGCATTTGATGGTATGAGCAGAAGCCGACGCACACGCTTCGGTGTCTGCCAGATTTACACCGCACTTCCACCAGAATCCCGCGAGGACAGTCGCAGGCGTCAACGGCGTCCTTGATGCTTTTGAGGGCGTTGAGAAATCCAGAGAGTTTGATGAGGGACTGGCTGATCCCGGGCACCCAACCCACGTGCATTGCCATCGCGGGATCCCGTGCCGGGTCGTACAAATGCGCTACATCGATGACGAAGTGCTTGCGGCCCTGAGGATCCAACGAGTCTTGATCAAATCTCTTCCCCGTGTAACAATTACGATCGAGGTGTCTGAATTTATGGCCCTTTCAATTTCCCTCTGAACTGTATATCGTAGATGATGATGGAAGCCAACGATCGTTTGCGCAGTAGCGTCCATGGCCTCTTCTGTCCCGGACCTGCGGGATGTTCTTTGGAATCCCTTCTGTGATAGGTATCAACTTTTCTGATCAGTTCAGCAGCGAAAGTGTATTTTGTGTTATCTTTAAACCTTCTGGAAAAACTCCTGCAAAAACTGTCAGAAGCAATGTTCCGTCTGAGCTAGGTTGACATTAGGGAGTGTTAGAAAATGTGCTGCGGAGAATCCATCATGTCCAAAATGGTTGTGGAGTGATCAGTGTCCAAAATGTGCCAGACAGTGTCGAAAGACACGAATCCAGCATGTCTGGAATCTGAGGTCTGAGCCATCCTGTGACCGCTTGATGCGGTAGGTACCCATATCCCAGCACCTGGTCTGTTTCGCGGGCAGCGGCCAAGTTCAAGATGCGACTTCTTTTCTAGAATTGATTCTTATTAAACATCCTTGTTGAGGCAATACTTGTCAGACACTTCTGACTAACCGCTGTCTGTTGAAAAGAAGTTTCTGACTGCTGGGGCGTCCGACTCTTTGAAGTTAGCTTGCCTGCACTTGGTTTAGTCCGGCAACTGTGTGAAAAGTGGATGACACCAAGGTTTTTTTTTCCCTGCGGCGCTCTTTGCTGCACTTCGGCATGGTCAATGGCCAGTCTGGACAGTGTGGGCCCACGCTACCGGATCCCAGTGGTCCGCTTCCATGGCAAAATGCAGGTGTCAAACATCCGAATCAAGCATCCTGACAGCATGTTGTCCGTGTCCAGTGCGTCTGGCCTGGCATTAAAGCTGCTGGTGCCATTGGACTTGATTTGGCCTGGTTGCGGCAAGCAGTGCATTTGCCTCCGCACTTCATGCAAGTTCACTCCGGAGACTGTTAGCCCACACGTCGGTGTCTACCTCACTTCCATCTCATCACCAGGTCACACCGTATGCCTGAGCTATGCTCTGGCCTGGCGCCGTATTGTCCGCCATATTTGCACAAACGAGCGTGGCCAAATCCAGAGAGTTTGATGACGCATGTCTGTGTACGCCCCAAGGCCGTTTCTCTGGCGTGAGAAACAAGGTCGTCCAGATGAGCGCTGGTGCTTCAGAATCTGCGCTCATCTGGACGAACTTGTTGCTGACGCCTTCCTGACGCTCCTTTGTCCTCACGGAGCCCCAGGAGTTTTGTGCCGTTTCACATCAGCTTCTCGTCGTATCTCCGGCTGAGTCGTCGCAGCCGCAGACACGGCAAGGCATTTCCGTGGACCAGGGTTCCGTCCTGTACGACGCAGTGCGGAACTGGTGGCATCTCCCGTCGTTGTTGCTTTGAACGACGGCGGCGTGCTCGAAGTTCACGAACGCGCAGCTGTACTTCCAGGAACGCTTCAGGTCCCAGCGCAAGGATTTGCGACCCTGCTAAGATACCCCGCTCGGGGTCTCCCCACCACCCAACCTCCTGGAGGGAGTTCAACCTCCTCTTTCGTCCAGGCTCCGGCCGCGGATGGCTGCATGGCATGCAGCCATCCGCGGCCGAAGCCCCCTTGCCGAGTGTCGGCGGCAAAAAATGCATTGCGGCTGGCTCCGTAGTGGCCGCCATATGCGCACCGACGAGCGTTGACAACTACAGGGAGTTTGCTGATCCCGGGCACTCAACCCACTTGCCGTGCCGTGCGGGCCATGGCGCGTTGTTTTCTGGCACGCGTTCGCATGGGTCGATTGCTCGGAATTTCTACTTGGGCAGAAACGCAGTGAAGACAAGTATCTTAAAGTGTGGCTTCGACCATGAAGACAAATATCTTGAAAGTATGAAAGAAGAGCAATCAGAAGATCTTCGCACCTCTGCAGCATCCCGAAGCGATGTACCTGGCGCACGCGAGCACTCAAGCAAAGGCATGGTGTAGATAGTCTTCGACTTGTTGAAACTCAATAAGCCATGTCTACCGTTAAGAATGCGACAGCCTTTTTTTTCCAGGAAAGAGTTGGTAGACTCATTGGCACGACCATTGGACGATAGGAGAGCCAAAGTCGTCTGGCCAGCAGTCCGGCTGCACGCGATACACTGCCACCTTCCAGGGTCGCAACACATGCCGCATCAGCACCAACGCCAACGCTTGCGCGAACCTTCGCGCATCTCTGGCTTTGCGAAATTGAACGTAGAAAAGGCGTGAGCTGTTGTTGTCATTGATGGTTCGACCCAAAAGAACCAGCCACATGAAGCGGTCGCCGCGAGCGACTGTTGCCCCACCTCCCTTGGAACCAAACTGCTTTTCAACTTTCTGTCAGTGTTAGGGCAAAGGCAAGATCGGAAGAAAAGGAATGCTCTGAAGGATTGAATTATTTCAATGTCATTGTGTATCAAAGGAGCAGCTCCTGACAGTTAATCATAGAGCGAGACAGGTATAGTGTAACAAACCTAGAGGACAACTGAACCTCAACCTGGCTGACAACTCATAGCTGATGATGAAGGAACGTGATTTTTCTTGAGCCGAATAACATGCGTCTAGTGCACTAGTGCCTGAATTATGCCATGCGCACCGGCTGAGCTATGCTCTGCGCAGCACCTTGGCGACTAATTATCGTAGGCGTCATCAACCTTCTCTTCAAACGCTGCAAAGAGCTCATCTAGTCCTTGAAAACCAATGCTTTGCTCGCACTGCTCATAGAACTGCAGGCTCTCTGTGATCAAGCTGTCCCCCTCCGACACGGCTGGATTGGAGCCAGACTTGTAGAGCCGAAAGTTGTGTCGCAGGAATGCAATCCGGAGAAGCATCTCAAGCCATGGCCGTGACATGTGCCTCCCAGAAGGTGGCAGCATGTCCTTCACTGACTGCCAAGCTCTTTCTACGCAGACAGTCCCTGACTGTAATTTGATTTGGGCATGGTGAATGGCAACGGCTATGTCTCTCCATGCCCACAGCCCTTCCACCTTCAATGGCTTCTGGAGGCGATCGAAATAGTCCGAGACACTCTGGGTCATGGCCGAGCGGGTCCCATGAACTTGGCCTGGATCGTCAGTTGCCTTTCGCACGCCTCGCTTCCGCCGGCTCCCTTTGCGACCAACCGAGTACCACTTCACCAAGACACTGATCTCACGCCTGGAACATGTTGAGCTACAGTGGGAATCACAAAATTTGTCGCAAGTTCTTGAAAAGGTTAAACGACAAATAAATGGATTACGAGCGGCTTGAACTCTGCCACAGTGGTATATCCGCAAAGTTCTGACGGCAGCTTGGCTCCAACACACTTGCAAAGCCGCCTGATGACTCCAGCTGTTGGCTTGGCGCCGAACACATCTATCCATGTCCTCGCAGTGGCCACGTCTGTCTGCACAAGGAAATCTCGCAGAGCTGCCACCCCATCCGCATTTTGGGACGTCAGCCGCTGATTCTCCGTCTTGTTGCCTTGCACGAGTTGCAACAGAAGGTTCTGAAAGTCTTCTGGCAGGGGCTGCGCTGCAATGGGCTTATCCGATTTCTTGTGACTAGGCGGCACTGCAGGGAGAGAAAGCTTGAATAGGCAAGCCTGTGGCAGCAAGAAAAAGCAAGAGGACTGCCAAATAATAGGATGTCACAGAAAATGTCGCAGGTTATATGTCAAAGAATGCGAAAAAACACAGAGACAATGTGAAAACATATACCGGAAAGAATGCGAGAAGAATGTCAAGATAACATAATGCCTTGTGGTCTGCGATCAAATTCCTCGCGTCTGGGGACGCCGCAGAAACACACCTTTGAAGTGCCAAGCAAGCATGGACAGGGTCGCCCACGATGCGAACGCAGCAATCACCTGCGCCGCGTGCGGCGCCAGCCGCATCGGCTTTTGGGCTTGTTGCTAATACCTCTGTGTGTAGCTCTGGAAACTTCTGCCGGTAGAAAGCTTGCAAAGCCAAACGTTGCTTCTGGTAGGAGTCAGTTGCGTGCGCAATCGGGCACGATTGCTGCAAAGCCATACCAGCCTGAAGGCGGTCTGCCTTCAAAGAATCCACCACGTCTTCTAAGGCAGGAAGAAGGTCTGGAAGAGCTTCGCTCCGCAATAGCTCTGGCGGAGCAAGCAAGCTGCCATCCACGCCTAGAAAGGCAACGAGGCACCCGTGAGGCCGCCGGCGAACACCACCAGAAAATTCGACTACTCTCTCAGGGATGTCGTAGTTTCCGTCATGTCTGAGCAATGTGCCCGCGTACAAGTTGATGTGTTGTCGGAGCCGTTTCACTGCCGAAGATGTGTAACCCTCTAGGGCGTTGAGAAGGATCTTCCGCAAGGAGACATTGGAAGGAATTGCTGTGCACAGTGTGCGCAGGCGAGTCATGCAGCCGAGAGCCAAAGCAGAAGCCCCGATTTGCTCCACGATGGCCCTTTTAGTGGCTCTAACATTGAGGCGTCTGTAAAAAACTTGCACCAGATAAAGCAGAAATTTCTTGGTGAAGAAAACTGTGCCGTGGCGACGATCCCGCCATGTCAAAAGATCAGGGAATGCCGCTTGCAAGTCTGACACTGTGATGACATAATACCGCATGGACGCCCCGTTTGCCGCGCAGGTGCGGCACCGATATCTGCGCCCATCAATTTGTATTGGAAAGGGCAGATCCCATACCCAGATGCTCCGTCGCTCATCTGACATCTGTGAAGGAAAATGACAAGGTTGCTCTGAAAGATGTTTCTCCAAAGCAGCTGGCATCACTTTGCGAACGGTCAAGTCTGCGTACACTACACTGCCTTCGGGTGGTTCACGCCAGCGCTCGGCGAGGTCGCAAGCCAGAGCAGAAGACTCTTGCAACACCTACGGAACAAAAACGGCCAACCCTTGGCAGCTGCAAACTGATAATGATAGTGGCGGAGTAAGAACATATCGTCCTACGTCCAAACTCTTGACATTCAAAAAAACAAGCACCCTCTGAAACTTTGTACTCTCGTCGTGGAAACACTGGCCTCTTCATCCGGGGAGTTGTCTCTCTTCTCAAAAAGAAGGCTTGCGCCTCGGCGTTGTGTGCCCTGCAACGCGCGGAAGCTCAAAGAAATAGAAGACAGAGCGCTCTTGGCGACAGTCCGACACTCAGCCAATCTTGCCTCAGGGTGCTGGGACAAAAGTCGCTGATAATAAAAATTGCGCCTCTAAAGCCGTATGTTTGAACTATTGTGGTATTCAAGAAAAAAGTTATGGAAGAGGAAAATTCCAGCATGGCAATCTCTGAACGCCCACCATTTCCAACATGACACTCCTTGCTGATTCCACGTGCCTTGTGTACCGCTTTCCCTTTGTGCTCAGAAGCGCACAGAGGAATGACATCTGCGAGATCAAGATCTCGCCTTCGAAAGACATTCAAAATAAACACGCTGTCACCAGCCACCTGCGCAAACAATCCACTTCGAGGTTCCAAAGGACCCACCTGGAAAGCGATGTTAAAAGTATCTGAGAAGAAAACGTTTCGCATGGAACTGGTCTGAAAACGTGCATTACAGCCCGCCCGGCCTTTTGTGGACATTTGATGTTGAAGAATGTCATGTCCATGAGTTCGAGCAGCCGTGGCAGCGTCCGACCGGCTGAGATTCGCTGCACCAAGCTTTGCTCTTCGTGTCTTGTCGGTGCCGAGGACGAAGATGATGCATCCACAGGAAGATTGGCCGGGCGCTTCGCGCCAACCGCAGGATCTCCAAGATGGAGGCGCTGGCGCTTGCTGGAACTCACAAGGTCCGGGGCGCACTGATGTGTACCGGCATCAGAGCGTCGCTTTCTAGGCAACGGTTTTGGCCAAGGTCTTGAAGCTCGTGTCTTTGCTTTCTGGGTCGGCGATCTTTTCCGCGTGTCAGACAAAGCTGGAAACTGATCCGACCAGGTGTGCAGCGTACCTTTGCCAATGGCCTTGCGAAGGCTGTCCTGGACCTCAGGCGCCCGAACATGCCAAACACCTTGCTGACCTGGCAGTGACACCCCAGCGGTGAACTGCATGCACTGTGTGATCTCGTACACCACGGGTCGGCTTTCCTGCACCCACTGATGGTTAGGAAGGTCGGAGTATCTCAACTGCTTTCCAATACACACCATGCCAACAATGGCCCCTGTACTGCAGCCATCTTCTGCCGCAGCTTCGGACATCAATCCTGAGCTATGCTCTGGCAAGAGGCTCTGTAACTCCTGAGCATAATCTTCATCGAAGCCTGTCTTTTTGCCCTTGTGCAAAAAATACCACCCCGGTGCAAAAAGCGGTCTTGGGCGAGATTCGACCCGCTTCAAGCCTTTCACCATTGCTTCGGCCATCCTTGGCCCCTGCACAGTGAAAGCTCGTGTGCATGAGCTTGGATCGTCGCTTAAAGACATGGCAAGCACGGAAGACGCTGGCGCCCATAGACTCAGCAGACAGTAAGGCTCGGAAGGAACATGAAGAACCTTACATGAAAAGATAAATTGACTATCATTTCAAATGGTACTATCCCTTGCGCGCAATGAGAGCTACGGCCTGCTCCCTGTGGCTTTGTTAAGCTGTTAGCTTGGGCTATGAGCCGTTGGTTCACTGACGGATTGAAGGGCAATGAGGTTTGGTTTCGAATAAATGTCAAACAAATATAAACATGAGCAGTGAAGCACTCAGCACTCCGATTACTCTTCCTGGTATCCAGTGGGTGTACTTGCAATGTCCTCAATTCCGTTCGATCCCATGTCAGCATGTCTTCCAAGCGTCACAATGAAGCCGGGGCAGGAAGCCTTGCAGAGCTGCATGGACACGGCACCCTGCAACTCTAAGCCTGACAGAAACGCGCCGAAGCCGCAAATACCTCGGATGATGAAATTATATTAATGAATTCTTGTGAGCCACTTGACTTCCAAATGTTGAAACATCGATGGTTTTGTACTAAGGTTGTGGCTTTCCAATGTGGAATACCTGTGGACTAATCATGAAATGAAATGCTGATGGACCACGTTGATGAGACACGAGAATATTTGAAAACTCATCAACAAATAAGATGCTTCTGAGCAGCCCACAGCTTTGGTGTGACCGGAATCCGAAGGCATAGAATGCTTCTGTGCCTTCGGATTCTGGTCACACCAGAGCATCTCCACTGCCTGTGAAATCTTGTGCTCTCTTTGTGTGCAAAGGCCTGCTACCTATCCCAAGCGGAACATCCGGAACATGAACCAAACTTCCGGCACCGAACCACCCCCCTAGCCTGTGAGGTGGCTTTGCCGCTCGACATGGCCCAAGTTCAACGAAGAGATAGTTGGAATAATCATCTAAGACACAACATCCAGGCAGTTACTTCTGCCCTCTAATAGAAGCCATATAGACCCAAAGTGCCAAACGGTCACTTACAAGATCAATCATGCATAAGTGACCTCGTTTCAAAATCTTTGAGTGACCTCTTTGCCTGGCTGATCACATGCTTTCTGCGTGTCACTGCGTGTTACTTGCGTGTCACTGAGATGGACCCTGAAAAGGTCATTTAAGGATTGGCTGTCTGCGTGTCACCTGCGTGTCACTGGTAAGCCACTTTTTGGCTCGTTTCCTTAACTGACCTCTTTCTAAATGCCACTTAGCAGAAAACACAAACAATGTCACAAGGGATCGTCTGGATGTTTATCTTATCATGAGGTGACGTCTCACAAATGCTAGGATCCAAACAAGTCAAACAAATGGCACATGGATAGTCTGTGACAATGATGTAAAAACCCACGGAAAGGGATAGTCTTGAGTGTCAGATTTTTTCATTGATTCGTTGATTCGCTCTTTCATTCATGCATTCATTCCTTTCATTTCATTTCATGTCGTTTCATTTCGTTTCATTTAGTTTCATTCATTTCATTCATTTCATTTCGTTTCATTTCCTTTCATTTCATTTCGTTGCATTTCCTTTCATTTCATTTCGTTGCATTTCCTTTCATTTCATTTCGTTGCATTTCCTTTCATTTCATTTCGTTGCATTTCCTTTCATTTCATTTCGTTTCATTTCGTTTCATTTCATTTCGTTTCATTCATTTCGTTTCATTTCATTTCGCTTCATTTCATTTCATTTCGATTCATTTCATTTCATTTCGATTCATTTCGTTTCATTTCGTTTCATTCATTTCATTTCATTCATTTCATTTCGTTTCATTTCGTTTCATTTCATTCATTTCATTTCATTCATTATTTCATTTTGTTTTGTTTCATTTCCTTTCATTTCATTTCGTTTCATTTCGTTTCATTTCAACTCATTTCGTTTCATTTCATTTCGCTTCATTTCATTTCATTTCGATTCATTTCATTTCATTTCATTTCGATTCATTTCATTTCA